TAAATATAGGCACCACATTGGCCTGTCTACCAATCCAGTTGTACTTTTATTTTAAAAGCAAAAGAGGGCAGCATAAAACTAGTGCGATATTTGATACTAGTTTTGATAAACACATCAATATCTGATTCGCTGGATTTTATTTCTAATTTTGCCCTTCATGTTCTTCATCCTTGAAAACAGAAGCTCACATCCAAGCCATCTGGTCCAGGTGCTTTACTTTATTTTTGCCATTATGAATCATTTGGAGCTATGTCAATACTTTCCCTACAAATACTTGAGCTCCTCTGTTTACCTTTGTATGCACAGAGTACAAGAAGGTATTTAATAAAATTTTCTTTTGACCCCAGTTGGCAACTCAAAACTATCTTGTGCAGACCTGACCTTTTTACTATTAATAGGGCCTACATGTTCAGACCTGACCTTTTTACTATTAATACATTTGAAGAAAGTTTGAGGGTTCATTCCACTCTTTTACAACCTGTCATTTGTTTTGACTCTTGAGGGCCTCGATCATATTGTTTTTAAAATACTCTTCTCTTTTTATAGCTTAACTTTGGACGTAAGCCACAAGTTTTTATTTTCATCCTTTTACATTTATTGACCATGGGAATATATTTTGCAGTGTGTTTACATACAGTCAATTTGAAACATTCTCATTTCTGTTCTGTGTTCAATGGCAACATTCTCTCCCAGTCTAAAACCTCGAAAGCAGCCCTCAGCATTAGAAAATATGTTCTGTTAAAATCAAGTGATTATCTTTTCAGTATTGCAAGTGCTTGCTTACAGGTAATATTAAATGAAACCATGTTATGGTCACTGCTACTCACTGCCATCTCCTCACAGTCTGCGTTAATCACTAAAAACCTGCAGTTGACCCAGTCGGTGGCGTGCTGCTGCCTGTGGGGATAATGTTTTCTGAACCTTTGCAACTTAAGCCCTTTTGCTGCCAGAGCCATTTTTGCACATGTTTGAAAAATCATTTTAGGCCTCAAGATAACAATCCCCAGACATTATATGTTTTCTGAAAGCAGATACCCTAGAGAATAAAATAGTGGTAGTTACAATTTTTTCATGTCACACTATATTATTGCAAAGGTCTAAGAAATGCAAAATTTCAGTAAAAACACACTAAAGTGAATTTTAGGACAAACGAACGCAATACATTACCCAAATTTTGGGTAAAATATAAAAAACACGAGGTTACACCGGGTAAATACATACCCAAAATGTCCAACCTTAAATGTGATATGTGCTTGGGTGTAACTTTTTTTGCAATAAAAATATTGTGTCCCCTATGTGATGAAAATAATGTCCTCTATGCAATGCTTTTTAGGCGACAGGTTCTCTTTAATGAGACATACAGGGTCTAAAAAACCCTGTATGTCTCCTGTGGGATCCACTGAATGCAGTGCAGTATGCAGTAACAGGGTGACCTGGAGGTGACATCATACACGCAGCTTTCTGGGTCACAAAAAGAAAGGGAGGAGATCGGACATGAGTTCGGGGGGTTGTGGAAGCAATTAGGCGCCAGCGCAGCCGCCCCGACTGCTTCCATAACAGGCAGGAATCCGTTTTATACACAATACTGGTGGCTGCAGCCACCAGATTGTGTGTAAAACCCCCTGCTGTCAGGATCTGGCAGTGAAAGGGTTAAAGCAGACCTTCACAGCTTTTCTGCCTCCCCCAACACCTTCAGACATAATTTTTTTGGAGAGGGGGAGGGTGGAGTGGGTACCTAGTATTGACATGTACCCACTTCCAAGTGAAGTTTGCCCCCTGCACGTCACAGGTCCCAGAAAGCTGTGGGACCATTAATGCGCAGCACAGCTAGGACTCACAGCCGATTTCCCACAGTAAAGATCAGCCAAGAACCGATCCAGGTGAAGACAAGGCTGGATCTCTGGACAGGTAAGTATCCATATATTAAAAGTCAGCGGCTTTCAGTTTGTCCAGGGGAGTACATGAACTTGATGTCCAGATAGTTTTGAGAATTTACACTAGTTGCATTAACAAATGTATTTAATACAAAACAACACATTTTTTGTTTATTATGCTAGAAGTTTGCTAAAAGGGACACAAATCTTTTAAATAAAAATATTTTGTTTGGTATGTTTTCTCTTTCCTCCAAATTCCTTTTTGCTGCTGTGAGCCAACTTCCTGTTAGAGGGTGGCTATGCCGATTCTCCATGATCCTACCATATGTGGAAACAAAGCCACTCTCATCTGCTTGCTCCGGAGATAAAATTGTGGACTGTGAGACTTGTAGAATGCATAGAGCAGTGCACATTACTGTACAGCTATGGCCAAAAGTTTTGCGAATGGCACAAATAATTTTCACAAAATCTGCTGCTTCAGTGTTTTTAGATCTTTAGTATAATGTCAAGCATTTCATAAGTGTCAAAGGCTTTTATTGGCAATTACATTAAAGTGGAATTTCACTCTCTCAATCAACATGAACTATTTTTAATCCTTATGCTGCTAGCATTAGTAAATAGATAGGAAATTATATCATATTTACTTGCTTTAAACTTCTTTACATTTCTTCAGTTACTTCCTGGTTTCAATGCCTAGGCAAATGATGTGTAGGGATTTTGTAGGGATTTTTTTTTGTTCACCCAGCTCTTGAAGATAGACCACAAGTTCTCAATGGGATTAAGGTCTGGGGCGTGTCCTGGACCCAAAATTTCAATGTTTTGTTCCCCAAGCCACTTAGTTTTCACTTTTGCCTTATGGCAAGGTGCTCCATCATGCTGGAAAAGGCATTGTTCATCTCCAAACTGTTCTTGGATGGTTGAAAGAAGTTGCTCTCGGAGGATATTTTTGTATCATTCTTTATTCAAGGCTGTGTTCTTAGGCAAAATTGTAAGTGAGCCCACTCCCTTGGCTGAGAAGCAACCCCACACATGAATGGTCTCAGGATGCTTTACTGTTGGCATGAAACTGGACCGATGGTAGAACTCACCTATTCTTCTCTGGACAAGGTTTTTTCCACATGCCCCAAACGATCGGAAAGGGGAATCAGAGAAAATGACTTTGCCCCAGTCCTCAGCAATCCAATCCCTGTACCTTTTGCAGAATATCAGTCTGTCCCTAATGTTTTTCCTGGAAGGAACTGGCTTCTTTGCTGCCCTTCTTGACACCAGGCCTTCCTCCAAAAATTTTTCTCCTTACTGTGCATGTAGACGCACTCACACCTGCCTGCTGCCATTCTTGAGCAAGCTCTACACTGGTGGTGCTCGGATCCCGCAGCTGAATCAGCTTTAGGATAAGGTCCTGGCACTTGCTGGACTTTCTTGGGTGCCCTGAAGCCTTCTTCACAACAACTGAACCCTCTCTCCTTGAAGTTATTGATGATCCGATAGTTGATTTAGGTGCAATCTTAGTAGCAGCAACATCCTTGCCTGTGAATCATTTTTGGGCAAAGCAATAATGACTGCACGTGTTTCGTTGCAGATAAATTAATGTTTGTTTCATTCTCAAAACGTTTGGCCAGGGCTGTAACTATCTTGCACTGTTCATCCCAAAATAACAGAAATGATATGGGAAAGGAGAGGTTTATGGGCTCACAAAAAATGCCACAAGGAGGCAGAAAAACAGTAAGAAATCACTTCCTGAAATATACTGTAGATTACAGGGTCATTAACCCCTTGACGCCGACATAACACAAATATGCGGCCTCACGGACCTGGGCTTTTTTCCGTGGGGCCGCATATTTGCGTACCTGTCTTTGTGTTGGGAGCGCGCCCCTCAGCGCGCTCCCAGCACCGAGACCGCGGTGTCACTGAGAGCACCAGGTCCCGTTCTAACGATCGGGACCCGGGACTCCCGGTCCCGGGTCACATGATCGCTGATAGCCTCTGATTGGCTATCACAGTGATCAGTCACTGTGCAGCCCGGCCCCCTTGTTTTTTTTTCTCTCTCTCTCTATGAAAGGAGAAGAGAGATACATTGTATCTCTCGAACTCCTGTCAGAGAGAAGAAAAAAAAAGTTTGTAAAAAAAAAAAAAAAAAGATAAATAAATAAATAAATAAATATTAAAAAAAAAAAAGAAAAAATTAAAAAAAATACCTAGATCAAGGTTTGATCTAGTTCAGTGCCAGGGTTAGTGTTTTAGGTCAGGGTCAAGGTCAAAGGTCAGGGTCAAAGGTCAGGGTCAAAGGTCAAGGTCTAAAAAAAAATTTGGTGTCAGTGTTAATGTCAGTGTCAGTTAGTGTTAGTGTGTTTTAGGTAAAAAAAAAAAAAAAAAAAGACAAAAACAAAATGCGCACTATGGTTTCTGGGCTGTACTACGGGTACAAACAACAAATAACATACACATATATGGTATCGCTGCGATCGTCAAGAGCTGGAGAATTTATTTTGGGTTGCTCTTTGTGGTAGGTTATGGTCATAACAAGAAACACATAGCTAAATAAAAAAAAAAAAAGATTTTTTTTACTATTTTTGGCCAGTTTTCCTTTGATAATAAAAAAAAAAATCAGGAGATATCCATTACCATTTACCACCAAATGAAAGCCCAATTTGTCCTGAAAGAAATCAAGGTATAATCCACCTGGATGTGCAAAGTAGTTGTGATGATATGTACGGTTTTGCTATCACATGTCAACGGTGCAGAATTGTGCTTAGGCCTTTAGATTTGTTTTTACCCTTAGGCGTGAAGGGGGTTAAGTAATGGATGTGTATGGATTATTTTTTGGAGAAAAAAAAGACACTATAGCATATCCTTAAAGATTTAAAGAGACTATATTATTTTGTATATGCAAGGCAAAGTGACAGCCTTTTACAAGACCGAAATTTATATATGGATTTCAGAGATGCCTATCTGCATCTATAAATCACATTTGCCCTAAAGGTAGTTTCTGATTATGTATGTTAATATTCACATAAGCCTCCGTTTAAGTTGCCCAAGTTTGAAACCGTTTGGCTAGGTTTACATTAAAAGCAGCAGTCCATGCAGTCTCTGACCAGTAGCATTAGGCAAAGAAAATGCTTCACTAACCATCAGTTTCCCGAATATCAAGGACTTTCTTTATCTGTGATAGCGGCATCAAGATAATATGCTTAAGAGATGCAGGAGGTCTTGTATGGCCATGAGGACTCTTAAATGTACCAATGACTTTATGCCTTTTCCTTGCAATCTGAAAACAAAGAACATGTTACATGACGCATAGGTTAACAAAGTTAAAGAATATAAAATTACTGCAGAATATATACTGAGAAGACGTTCCATGCTTTTAAAGGAGACCAGTTTTATTGCGGACCTCAGCATCTGAAAATCTTAGCTGCCTGGCTGTAATACTGACCCAATGGCTTGAGTTCTTTCCAAATAATGTGGTTACCCACTGAAAAAAAAATTTTGAAGCTATGAAGTCTGTTATCCCATTCATATGTATTAAAAAAAAAAAAAAAAACACACACACCCACACACACCTTTTAGACCCACCAGCTGACTCCTAGCCTGAGGCAGCTGATGGTTGAGGGGTCTTTTACTAACTCAAAGCAAAGGGGTCTTTTACAAACTCTGTAAGCTGTAAAGAAAAATAAAAAGGCAATAAAAAAAAAAAAAAAAAAAAACTGAAAAAAATGGTCTGACCACCTGACGTTAAAAGTCGAGTGCAGGGCCTGGCAGCGAAAAGGGTTAATGCGAATTTTAAAAAAAAAAATAGTGAAAATGAATTAAAAACAGAATTTTGTTTGCATTTGTAAGATAATCTTTTAAGCCCATACAATTAAAAAAAATATATTTTATGTACGCAAGTTAGGGAAAGAATTGTTAAAGCAGAACAATACAGTGATGCGCTGTCCCGGAGCTCCCCCGCCTGGCCACTGACATCTTCCGGTGACCGGCTTCTGGGTCCCGAACTCCAGCTGTGGTCATTGCCCGGCGGCAATGACCACACATGCGTGGGAGTTCCATCAATTTGTCATTGCCGAATTTGAACAGTGAGCTGCGCGCGGCTCACTGTACAAGGGTGGACAGGTAGATAGGTAGCTTTGATGCAGAAGAGACAAAGCATGTCTCTTCTGCATTAAAAATCCTGCCTATCCACCCACTTTTAATTTTTATCTAAAGTTCCACATTAAGTTAAAGCAGTATTAAACCCAAAAGCAAGCATATTGCACCTTATCAATACCGAGATGTGATGACTGCATTTGTTATATTTTTTTAGGCTTTATTTCTTCTATTTCATCTGGTGATCAAGTCAGTAAATCAGTTCATAAAGATGAGACAAACCATTCAATACTGTCAGGGGTGCTTACAATGATCTATTTAAAAATGTATGTAAAACCTTATCTCCAAAAAGGAAAAAAAAAAAACTGTTGTAACCGATTATTGTTAGTTGGAGTTTGGCTTCAATTTGTTGTATTGTAAAACTTTGGTAAATTTAACACTATCCTCCCCCTAGACTAACAAAGCACTCTAATGCAGGAGGTGTTGGCCAGATGACCACAACAATACCGCATTAACCAGGGCTTGACAATTTCTAGGTGCCAGGTCCCCTGCTTTCCCACACTGCCCCATGCTCCCCCTATCCCATATCCTTGGCCAGCTCCTCTCTCCTGCCACACAGAGTGGAGCCCAGTCCAGGGTTCTGGGACAGAGTCCAGGTGAAGCACAGAGTGCTGGACAGCCCCACAAAAGCTGCCCCCCCCCCCCCCCCACCACCACCACCCCTGCCGGAGAGTCCATGGAGCAGACGACGTGGCCTCCCACACCAACACCACTGGACGAGTGCTGTTAGGATGGCCAGGTGCACATTAGAGCCTCTCAATGCTGCCTTTAACTGCGGCGGCGGCGCTCCCCACTGGAGGACCAGAGTGAATCATTTGGGAGTGGGACAACCTTAAAGCAAAATTAAACTCCACTGCCCAGGATGTTTGCCATATGCCATATGAGGATATGCACAACAGACTCATCTGCCAAAGTGTTCTATTCATTCTATTTAGGTTTGTTTTTAAAAAAATAGGAATAACAGGGCCAGTTTAACAATGAATCTGAAAACCTGCCTTCATTATTTATCTGCCAATCTGCACATCTCTGACCTTTTATCCTTGTTACACATACAGATAATCAATTTATAATACTGTGCAGCAATTATTTTTGCCACTTGCAATCCCTAGAGCTTAGAACAATTTCAGAGGATTTTGAGCATGCAATGTTGACAGTTCCTCCACATTTCTCTGAGTGTAACAGTATATGTTCTGAATTTTCAGAACAGTCTTCCCTCCATTTAAATTTTCCTAGCAGACCGCCCCATTTTTCCTCAGATGTTAGTATTTAATATAGTCTCACCTCAAGGCAATCATTAAATAGAAAGAGTGTGACTTGTTCTCCTCTGTCACACAGATCTTCCCCAAGAGCAATCGTTTCTACTCTCTGTACCAGCATCCTATGCGAGGATAATAGATTTGCCTATAACAAAAGTGGGAATAATGAAAAGGTTACACTACATATTGCAGACCACAACCACAATCTATACGGTAAAAGGAGAAAATGACTTACACCGAGTATCATAACAGACTAGCAAATTGACTTAATGGGGACTAACTGAGCGAGTTTCATTAATTACCAGCATCATGCATTTGAATTATACTGAACATGTACATCTGAAGTGAATACTTACAGGACATCCATCCACACTTCATAAACCACATCAAAGATCTGTCTCTGCCCTTCAGTTTTCCTTTTATCTTCGTTAATATGACTGTCAATTTAGAAAAAAAAAAAAAAGATTTCTATGCAGTAAATGATCACATCTCTCCCAGTTTAAAGACGTAATACTAGTTTGTAGGAATACAAAAGAAGGCTGGTTAGATTAAAAAAAAAAAAAAAAAAAAAAAAAAAAAAAACACAGGATTTAACCACTTGCCCTCCTGAGGATTTACCCCCCTTAATGACCAGGACTCTTTTTGCTACTTGGCACTGCACTAATTCAACTGATAATTGCACGGTCATGCAATGTTGCACCCAAACAAAAATTACGTACTTTTTTTCACACAAACAGAGCTTTTTTTCGGTGGTATTTGATCACCTGTGCGCTTTTTATTTTTCACGCTATAAACAAAAAAAGACCAAAAATTTTGAAGAAAAAAACAATATTTTTTACTTTCAGCTATAAAAAATATATAGTAAACTCAAAGTTAGTTATAAAATTTAGTCCAAAATGTATTTCTGCTACATGTTTTTGGTAAAAAAAAAATCCCAATAAGTGTATATTGATTGCTTTGTGTAAAAGTTATAGCGTCTACAAACTATGGTATAGATACTGCAATTTACGCCATTTTTTGCTATACAGCGCTGTGCTAGTTTAACAGACAATTGCGCGGTCATGCAAAACGGTACATAAATGAAATTTGTCATTTTTTTCACACAAATAGAGCTTTCTTTTGGTGGTATTTGATCACCTGTGTGCTGTTTATTTTTTGCGCAAAAAAAAAAAAAAAAAAAGGCAGACAATTTTGAGAAAAAAAAACAATATTTTGGACTTTTTGCTATAAAACGTCCAGTAAAAAAAAAATGTAAAAATCAAATTTCGTCATAAATTTCAGCCAAAATGCATTCTGCGACATGTCTTTGCTAAAAACAAAAACCCAATACGTGTAAATTAATTGGTTTACGTGAAAGTTATAGCGTTTACAAATGGCGGGAAAGATACTGGGATTTTTAATTTTTTTTTATACTAATAATGGCGGCGATCAGTGACTTATGGCCATGATCAGTGACTTATGGCGGGGCTGCGGTGGACATTCTGACACTGGGGGGGAACTGGCTTGGGGTCACTGACATCCTCAGTGACACCAATACAGTGATCAGTGCAAAAAAAACAAAACAAAAACCACTGACACTGTACTAATGGCACTGGGGAGGAAGGGGTTAACTTTATTTACTGAAAGGGTTAACTGTGTGAGGGGAGTGTTTTACTAGGGGGTGGGGGTGTGTACTGCACGGGAGACACACTGATCGGGAGAGAAACTCTTCTCTCCGGCTCAGCATGTCAGGAGCTGACAGGGAACTGACAGAAAGCAGACGTACTGCAGCCCTGCTCTCTGTCAGTGATTGCCGCTAATCGGCGGGACACAGCCAGTAACGAACGGCTGTGACCCGGCGACTGATATCCACGGCCGTGATCGGCGGGAGATATAGGGCCGTGGCGCGCCCCCTACCTGTTTTGCAAACACACATTTTAAAAACGTGGTTTTGCCCAGCCTTGCCGCCATATTTCTACAGTGGCTGGGCGGCATGTGGTTAAAAGCTCTGGCTGTCTGAAACGAAATATTAGTGATTACATATCAATGTGATGTTGTTTACTCATGTACCTCTTAGCATATAGAGGGTAAAAAGAAATAGCAAGAAAAATAAAATATTTAGATAAGAGGATGTCTATGCCATGTGTATATACACATTTTAAATTGCAACATTAAAAGTCAAATTTAAATTATTTTACCAGACTGAAGGTTGTTTGAAGGTTACAAACCTACTTGTAGATAATTAAATGTAATTAGCAAATCACTATCAGTATACAGGTACGCTGTACTGAGCTAGCAAGGTAAAACAGTTCAGCTAGAGTTCATATCATAAAAAATTACCCATAAGAGATAAGAAACCACAGTAACAATTTAGTATGTACAACTGGTTACTTACGTCATCACCTCTTTTAGAGATTCTATAGCCTTTTCGAGCTTAACTTTATCCGGGTTGTCATCTGCAGTGTGCTTCTTAAGGTCTACAATAATAAAATAACATAGGGTTAAAAGGTTTTATGAATACACACATAGCATGCACATGTATAAAATATTCAAGGGTGTCACCCAATTGAGAACATCCCATAAAATGGCAAAAGTATCTTTGCTGTGCTCCTCAGAAACCTTCCATCACATCAGCGATTAGTTTTTCTGACCAAATGTTGTAATGATTACATAATTTGATATACAGAGTTCTGGCTGCAGTGCAATCCAAGTTGCCCGTTATGTACATGAGCAGCTCCTGGTCTGGTGCAGTTTTGTTGAAGATCAGAAGAAAACATTGAAAGAGTCCAGCCAACTTAAGATCTGAGCTCATTACTCACACATCTACTGACAAAACGCAAGATGCAAGGAAAACTCTGTAAAAAAGGTACAGATATTGTATCTATCTGTATGCCTTGTACATACTGCAAGTATGTGAGCTGAACGAAAAAAAAAAAAAAAAAAAAACCATGACAGATCGCTGTACTAACACAAGCAGTGTTAGTATAGTGATCGCTCTCACTGTGCTATTGTGTTCTGACACCAGTCAGTGCTCTCAGCCATTGGCTGAGAGTGTTGATTGGTAGCCAAACATACGCCTTCTTTCGTACTGGCTGCCGTACACACGGGCTGAATGTCAGACTGGCCAATACCGCCCAATATACGGTCTGTGTGTATTTAGTTTTACTAGTGAGCAAAGCTAAAAAGCTAAACTAAAAAGAAAAAAAATGTTCATCACATTAATTAAAGCATTCTGTCAATATTGAATGACAATCTATTTGTAATGCTTTTTTTTTTTTACCACTTGGTAACCGCGCTATAGCCGAATGACGGCTACAGAGTGGTTACCCAGCTTTGGGAGGGCATTATACGATGTCCTCCTAGAATGTGCCCTCCTGCGCACCCCCAGGGGTGCGCACCCAGCGTTCTCCATGATCGCTGTATCCTACGGACACGGCCAATCACAGTGGTCTTTTACCATGTGATCAGCTGTGTCCAATGACACAGCAGTTCACGGAGTAAATAGAGTTGCCGGTTATCAGCAGCACTTCTCTCACACTGTCACAGCATGAGGAAAGTACTGCCAATAACCGGCAATTGTCACAGAGCAGATCAGTACTGATGATTAGTGCTCAGCAGGGCTGCTTGCCAGCGTCCAGCAGGGCCACCTACCAGTGCTGCCCCATCAGTGCCCACCAGTGCTGCCCATCAGTGCAGCTTCATCAACGCACAACAGTGAAGGAGAAACATTTTTATAAAGGAAAGAAAACTTTTCAAATTTGTTGCTCTCTTTTTTGTTAACAGTGAAAAAAAAAAAATCCAGTGGAGATTAAATACCACCAAAAGAAGCTCTGTGTGTGGAAAAAAAAGCAAAAATTTCATATGGGTACAGTGTTGCATGACCACACAATTGTCATTCAAAGGGCGACAGCTCTGAAAATTGGGATACTTTTTTTTTTTGCATAATCTGAATCCTTGTGAGCTGCTACTATGAAAAACGATTTTTTTGCCCTCTGAAACGTACACCCTTTCTTCTGAAATTAAAGAACATACCTCTGGGAGGGGCTGAGGTCTCTCATGCAGTGTCATCCCGACATTAAAGTCGGTATCCACCCCCCTCTTATGACTGAGATCAGCTCTTGACAGTCTGCACGCTTCCGAGATGCCAGCAGAGCTTCAGCAATGTTCACACTCCCCCCTTCTCACCCCCTCTCATCCAGGCTGTTGAGTTTCTGAACACACCGGCAACTTTCTCTCCCTACTCTCCCCCACCATCAAGGTCGTTCTGAGTCCGAGTTTCATTTACAGACATATAGCTGCTGCTTTCTCCCTCCTCCTTCCTTCCCCCTCTCATCCAGGCTGAGCTCTCACTGCCAAACTTTATCAGTTTTCTCTCAGCAGAGAGAAGCAGAGAAGAAGCTGAATAACATTTAGTCATTCTTTTCCTGTACAGTACTGTCTCCTGGAGTTGCAAACCCACAGCATACTGTTATGTGCCTCTGTTTCTTGCCGACAGTGAAGTTATGGAAATAGAGGCACTTAACAGGCAGGCACGTTCCAGCTTGTGTCTCTGTGAGGAAAGCACGGTCACAGCTGAGATCTGGAGAAGAGAATGTGGGTGGCAGCTTAACCCAGATGTAACCACCCACTCCAAACTTTCAAACCTGACTAGGACCGTTACTCAGCCCTAACCAGGGTTTGGAATGTGGACACCGGAAAAATGGAACATAGGAAAGTTAGAAAAGCTGTTCTGTGGTAAGGGTAGTTAATGCTATTTATATGATCATACTACTTCTTTAACCAATTGCCCTCCTGAGGATTCCCCCCCTTCCGCTCCTGACCAGGCCATTTTTGCATTACGGCACTGCGCTACTTTAACTGTGTGTTTATTTTGAGAAAAAAATTTTTGGGACTTTTTGCTATTAAACATGTCCAGTAAAAAAACTTAAATCAAATTGTCATAAATTTAGGCCAAAATGTATTCTGCTACATGTCTTTGCTAAAAATATAAAACTCCCATAACATGTAAATTAATAGGTTTAACTGAAAGTTATAGCGTTCACAAATGGCACCAACACTGTACTAATGGCACTGGGCAGGAAGGGGTTAACATGAGGGGCGATCAAAGGGTTAACTGTGCACTGTTTTAACTTTGGACTGTGTGTCTGTGCTTCACTGTAAGCACACTGCTTTGCATGGCTACATTTATGCACAAATCAAGCGCAGTCCAATTTGACAAACAACAACACTGCCAGGATGTTTTCCAGTTAGCTTTTTTCCCGCACTTTTTTTTTTTTTTTTAAATTCTCAACTGCTCTAAAATCCCTGGCAGCAACAAATGTGAAATAGGAAAACCCCATACTCCTATAGTACAGAAGCTAGGAGTATGATGCCATTCACTTCTAGGAGCAGTTAACATGCAGGCCCAGCCAGTACCAGAGACGATTTCTGCATCAAGGATATACCCATCACCATGGCATGCATCCAAAATTTTGGGGCCCTTACACCGCTTTAGACCTGACTACCAAAATTTCCCAGGGTCCTCCCACTGACCGTCCCACCGAATCTGCCCACAGGTGTGTAGCGCCTGCCAAGCGTGACGCATTCAAGTGAATGGAGTCACTCTGCAAATGCCCTGCAACTGTGTAAAATGCATGCAGTTGCAGTGTGCTAGTGTGAGATCCAGAAGGTTAAAGCAGGTGGTGCGGAGGTGAGAAAATATCTCCTCATAAACCCCTTGGTTGCTGTACTTACAAGGCTCCAGGGAGCTTGCAGAGGGGCCTCGTTCACTTGAATGGGTCATGCTTGGCAGGCGCTACACCTGTTAAGTGTGATAGGGTGTATAATTCCTGCTGCGGCATGTGTACATCCCTGGTCACTGCATTTAAAGGGGGTGCATTTGAGGAGGTGGCAAAAACAGGGCTTAACTTTGGAGATTTACCACTCCCCCAAACTACAAATGTAAACAAGTCCTCAAGCTATGGGATGGAGGACCGCGAGGGGCACCATGGGATGAGGACAGGGAGTTAAGCTTAGGGAGGGGACTTGTGCTGGAAGGTGGGATGGGGGACATTTAAAATCCCCCCATCCCCACACTGGCACAAGTTCTCTCCCCTCTCAAAAGCACCCCCCCCCCCCCCCCTCTCCTTCCCCAGCACATATCCTCTTATTCCCCACCTCATCACTCTTCCATTTGTGCATCCTTGTTACCTGTCCCCCTTCCCTGTTATTGTGTCACCCTCCTCTGTATATATCCATAAGGTATACACAGAACTCAACAGCGTGACTCTCTCTGGCAGTTCAAGGTCCCTCCTACTCCTGTCTGTATAGACAAGAAGATCGGAGCCGAGGAGGGGAGAGGAGGATTCTCCGTAAGCATTGAGCTTGGTGGTGTGTGCAGTGGGGGAGAGATGCAGGCTGCAACAAAGGGGCGATCACCGCGTGTGAGACCTCGAGCAACCCGCAACTTGTTCTGGCATTGGGCTCCAGGACTCAGCAAAAGATTAGTCAGGACAAAGTTACTGCGTACTGCAAGATTCTCATAGGGCGCAGGCACCCAACATCTATATGGGCTGTACCCCCCCCCCCCCCCATAGCAGCCCTGACCAGCACAGGGCGACACGAATGCCACAAAAATATGTATTAGGCTGTGAGGGATTCTATGCTAGATTAGCTAAAAGGGAGTAGGAGATTTTTGTAGCAAAGGTAAAATTGCACCTTAGCTACTAAATCCCCCATCCTCCTAGAGCTAAGCTGCTAGAGGAGTTTGTGACCCCTTAGTGTATCACAGATGGTGGCAAAGTCTCTGTATCTAACTTACAAGCCAACATCGCTGTGATTAAAGTAGCTTGTTCAATACACAGAACAGTATATAAAAATGTTCATATTTTATCTCTTGTACTTGCAATGTGAAATCCAGGTAATTTTAAATAAGACTTATGAAATAATTTCTAAAAGTGAATTTTGAGTCAAAGCATTCTATTTTACAGCTGGTTGGTCTAAAAGCAGCATGAGACAACTCACCATTTAGAAGAAGGGCAACACTAGGTAGCCTTTGAACAGGACGAATTAATAATTCAACTAACGTTTGTCTCCCACATTCCGGCTTTGCTTGGTTAATCTAAAAACGACATCTTACATTTTACACAAAAATCACACTAAGCATCAACTGTATCTCATGAAAACTATTTTTGGTCAAGCCTTGTACAATACTCAGGTCCTGTTCTCAAAAATATAAACTGACTTAATAAACTGATAGGTAGTAGATCTCTACAGGTTACAGATCAAGTCCTAAACTTTTTAAATACGTAATAGGTTTAAGCCCAAACCACAATGCTGGGGCTGAAATCACGTGACTCAAAACTTAACAGTGAATTCCCATAATTACCATAATTCAGTTGCCAGGATTTGCTGAAGAAGTTGACAATTGGCTATGGGGAAGGGTTTTGGGCTTTCCCCAAGTTTGCAAACACGCAACAAGGCCAGGGGGAAGAAGTAGACATTAAAAGTTTTCAGGTGATTTGTTTAGTGACCTACAGAAAATTTCTGCATACCGGTTTACTGTAGCCAGACCTGTAAATGAGATCATGTCTGACCAGTCACTACTGATATATGACTTGGGAAAAAAAAAAAATTATATAAAATAGAATGTGATTGGCTGATTTTTTTAAATTACTATGTTGTACCCAGCATCATTGTGGCACCTTAACAAAACATCTAAACAGACTACTGTACAACATCTAGTTGTATTACTTCAATTGATCCTTGCATGTAGTGGTTCTTCATCCACTTGTATAGAGGAGAGTAAAAAATTATTCTTACCTTGAGAAAAAAGCGTGGAATCTTGGCTTTTGCTTTTCGCATTTTAGAATGGTTTCTTTGCTCATTTCAAAGAAATTTACAAATGGTGGATAGGTTTTTACCAAATCCCTTGACTAGAAAGAAAGCATGAACTGTCAGTAATTATTCTCTATAAATAAACCTAAAATTAACAGGGTTTAGACTTGCTAACAAAATACTTACATATGAAAGAATGACATCACCAATACTTTTGGTTTCTGCCCAGTCTATCATAAGAGTTTCTAGATCCCCCTAATAAAGAAAACAAATAGCAAGTTTGTAGGATAAGGAAAAAAAAAACAAACAAAAAAAAAACAAAACTCCCAGTAACAAGATCTGTATAGTGTAACAACCACCACTAAAGATCACAGGTCCACTTTCAGCATTATCCCCATTGTGTTACCTAGAAGATGGACATTTGACAACAGTAAGATCCTGTTCACATGCGCGAGATGCATAAACGCACATTTATTCCTGCACTTATTTTTTTTAACATTTTCAAATTATATACATAGGGCAGCCCATTTATTTGAATGGGCTGCCCTACATGCGACAAACGGATCAAAAGAAGTTCCCGCACCTTTTCAGGCATTGAACACTGCACAGTTTACAACTAGGGCACTTTATTCACTCAGTCCTGCCCCACCACTCATCCTCATAATTACTGACAGAGTTCAAATGGAAATGTAATTTAGCTTTTACTAAACGGATGCCTGTTCGACGATACCAAACTCAATGGAGTCAGAACTGAATTAACCACTGGAACCTGAGGATTGGCAAACGATATGGCAGACAGACGGTCTCTAAAAGCTCCAAGCAAGTCCTAATCCTGGAAAATTCCTATAAATGTACTATACAAGTGGTGCTACACCCCAGTACGGCTGGCTAGATTTTTGCCTAAATATCATTCCACCTGCTTTCATTACTGTCACCTTGAAGGTACCCATGATACACATCTGGTGGCCATGTCTAGTAGCAAACAGACCGTGGATCTAGGTTCACAATCTACTTTGTTCTTTGATCCATTCAGATATCCATAAAAACCCTTATAAGACCCTCTTGAATAAGCCCATTCTGGACATACATTTGCTAGCTAGGCCATGGAAAACCCCTAGTTTTAAGGCAGTAAAAATCAGGGTGACGGATATTATGATTAATGGGAAATTGACTGCTATTTTAAATGGACACTTAATCTAAGTTTTCCAAACTTTGGTAATTTTAGATTTCCTATTCACAGCCTTTGACCTTTAATCAGTCACTTCTAACATTAGTGAGATGCTATACCCCCTGGGATCTCTTTACTTTAAAGTGGTTCTAAAGGCATTCTATGCAATAAGGTAAAAAAAACCTTCTGGGTGCAGCTCCCCCGCCTCATACTTACCCAAGTCCCATCTCGCTCGATGTGCATGACAGCCACACTCTCCTGGGTCTCTCTCTCTCCTCACTGGCTCACACAGCAGCAAAAGCCATTTGCTCCCGCCTGTGTCAATCACAACCAGTGAGCCAATGAGGGGAGAGCAGGGGGTAGAGGGTCGAGCCACACTTTGTGTGAATGGACAATTTCCATTGTTATTACAACCTTTAGAGTCACTTTCATCTTTACCTTTTCTTCTTTCACTTTTTTCATTCAATGCACTTACCATCTCTTCCTCACTTCAGATATTCTCTGTCCTCTTTTCTTTATTCTGCAGTCGTGATGAGGTAGTCACACTCCACAACTGCACCCACAGGGAATGTTTTGTTCTCTTTCTGCTTGTACAATATTATCACTTACTGACTGTACTCCATCGAGTCTAAGTATGTACCTTGATGTTCACCCTCTTGTATATTGACTAGCACATGTGATGTGCTCTATTAATATGTGCAGACACTTGTACTTGATCACCTTCTTTTCAATTAAAACAAAATGTGTAAAGAACGCCACACAATTTGGCGAGTTTGTTGCATGCTCCTAAAACGGAGGATCCAACCTCCTCCATTTAGGTGGATCGGATGGTAGCCGCCCATAGAGAAAAGTGGGCTCTGTCCGTATTCACTCTGCAGGAACTGAGCAGAGGACACAGATGTGTCCTCTGCCCTATTTCATTTAGCAGGGGATCTGTGAGCAGATCCCCTGCTGATCGGGACAGAGTCTGCCCAATCTGGAAGGGGCCTTATGGGAAAAGATAAGCTGAAGGAAGACCACCAGCAAAACTGGTGACTAGTCCTTTGCTCTCTGCCTGTGTTTTTTGGGCACAGATTCCAAAGTATCTAAACCCAAGAACAAACATGTAGTATATTGCAGCTTAACAACGCATGTATAAGGTGGATGCATTTTTTAAACCTTTTTTTTTCACCTTGCAATCCACACTTCCTGCCCTAGGAAGACAACACTCAGTATATCTATGAAGAACCCACGACTGCACACTCCTGATTTTGACTACACAGCACACAGCTTCTCTCCATATGAATGGGAGGTGCTTTATAGTATACAAAGTTAAACTTGGAAAAGATCATAACATTGCTTGAGAATGCAGGGCAGCACAGAGAAAGCGCTGGAAATTACAAGCGCTCTGCATTTCTGGCAGGATTAACAGGTATTTTGCACTTCACGAACAGACATCAACTATATTAAACCAAAAGGGAGGAAATATATCATATCAAAACATCAATAACATACAATAGTTCTAGTTTACATACACTTTACAGTCAGGTCCATAAATATTGGGACATCGTCACAATTCTAACATTTTTGGCTCTATACACCACCACAATGAATTTGAAATGAAACGAACAAAATGTGCTTTAACTGCAGACTGTCAGCTTTAATTTGAGGGTATTTACATCCAAATCAGGTGAACGGTGTAGGAATTACAACAGTTTGCATATGTGCCTCCCACTTGTTAAGGGACCAAAAGTAATGGGACAGAATAAGAATCATAAATCAAACTTTCACTTTTTAATACTTGGTTGAAAATCCTATGCAGTCAATTACAGCCTGAAGTATGGAACGCATAGACATCAGACGCTGGGTTTCATCCCTGGTGATGCTCTGCCAGGCCTCTACTGCAACTGTCTTCAGTTCCTGCTTGTTCTTGGGGCATTTTCCCTTCAGTTTTGTCTTCAGCAAGTGAAATGCATGCTCAATCGGATTCAGGTCAGGTGATTGACTTGGCCATTGCATAACATTCCACTTCTTTCCCTTAAAAAACTCTTTGGTTGCTTTTGCAGTATGCTTTGGGTCATTGTCCATCTGCACTGTGAAGCGGTATCCAATGAATTCCAAAGCATTTGGCTGAATATGAGCAGATAATATTGACCGAAACACTTCAGAATTCATCCTGCTGCTTTTGTCAGCAGTCACATCATCAATAAATACAAGAGAACCAGTTCCATTGGCAGCCATACATGACCACGCCATGACACTACTACCACCATGCTTCACTGAGGTGGTATGCATAGGATCATGAGCAGTTCCTTTCCTTCTCCATACTCTTCTCTTCCCAACACTCTGGTACAAGTTGATCTTGGTCTCATCTGTCCATAGGATGTTGTCCCAGAACTGTGAAGGCTTTTTTAGATGTCGTTTGGCAAACTCTAATCTGGCCTTCCTGTTTTTGAGGCTCACCAATGGTTTACATCTTGTGGTGAACCCTCTGTATTCATTCTGGTGAAGTCTTCTCTTGATTGTTGACTTTGACACACATACACCTACCTCCTGGAGAGTGTTCTTGATCTGGCCAACTGTTGTGAAGGGTGTTTTCTTCACCAGGGAAAGAATTCATCCACCACAGTTGTTTTCCGTGGTCTTCCGGGTCTTTTGGTGTTGCTGAGCTCACCGGTGCATTCCTTCTTTTTAAGAATGTTCCAAACAGTTGTTTTGGCCACGCCTAATGTTTTTGCTATCTCTCTGATGGGTTTGTTTTGTTTTTTTCAGCCTAATGATGGCTTGCTTCACTGATAGTGACAGCTCTTTGGATCTCATCTTGAGAGTTGACAGCAACAGATTCCAAATGCAAATAGCACAATTTAAATGAACTCTGGACCTTTTATCTGCTCATTGTAATTGGGATAATGAGGGAATAACACACACCTGGCCATGGAACAGCTGAGAAGCCAATTGTCTCATCACTTTTGGTCCCTTAACATGTGGGAGGCACATATGCAAACTGTTGTAATTCCTACACTGTTCACCTGATTTGGATGTAAAAACCCTCAAATTAAAGCTGACAGTCTGCAGTTAAAGCACATCTTGTTCATTTCATTTCAAATCCATTGTGGTGGTGTATAGAGCCAAAAATGTTAGAATTGTGTCGATGTCCCAATATTCATGGACCTGACTGTATATTCAATCAGTATTACAGAAAACTCAAAAAAACGTAATTAAATGTTTGCCTTTAACATTAACAGAAGCATGGGGAAGAACAAGTTACCTTTATTTTTGTGTGAACATCCAGAATATCTGGTATACTGCCAAAAATGGTCTTTATTTCTTCTTGGGCAAGAATAGGCCCACCTACTTGACCCTCCTTTTCTAGTGGAACGTGAAACAGCTGTAAAAAAAATATTAGGAATTTAACCAATTAGTCACCAATTAAATCAGTGTAGAAATCTTAACCAATAACACAGGAGAAGCCTGGGCAGCAGATTGTTCACAATGAATGTGTGGGGAGCAATGCCTCATGGGATAGGTAGTCCTGAGCAAGAGAAGGAAGCGATTTAAAGTAATTCTAAAGGGACAACTGTATTTACCATGCTATAGGAACGCTCTATATTATATTTTGCAGCTTGCTGTAGGGGCATTCTGAAGGCAGGAGTTAAATGCTGGTGGGGAACTCCAGAAGAGGAGGATTGGAGCTGCTCTGTGCAAAGCCATTATAGAGAAGGTAAGACAAGTTTTGTAGTTTAAAAAAAAAAAAAAAAAAAAAGGCTTACAAATCACTTTAAGGGCTCTGTGCAGGGAAGATCAGCAGCTGAACCCAGAAAAGCTGGAGGCCATATAAAGGCATTACAATTAAGTAAAATTTTACCATTATTGTGCATTAGATTAAAATGATTATATTCATGAAAAGTCTCAGCCTTTAGTATTACTTTAATATACAAGTTTTAAATATCATCCCCCCCCCTCCATATAGCTTCATGTCGGTCTCACAGTTAAAATACCCTGTATATCCTACCTGAGGACAGAGATATAATACACACACACACCAGTATTAAGTACACCTTGCTAATGCCAAGAAAATATCTCCCACACCATTGCACCACCACCATGATTATAAAAATAACAGAAAATAAAACAAAAGCTGCATTTTCAAGGTCATACAAAACACAAGATTAAATGCTTGCAGGGGCTCAAAGGAACACACAGCAGAAAATCAAATGACCATCCTGAAGGGATCATGAAAAGTCTCACTTAGATGACAAAGCTAAAAGACATCCAGTGTTGAAGGGTAAGACGGATTGCCATAAGCTTCAGGACATTAATCAGCAGCTGTGCATCCCCCAAGAAATTATTTCCCCCCAACTCCGGCCCAGGGCTCAATAGCCACCAGTCCAGGGCTAACATTGTTGGTGCTCAGACACTTGGGGTAATCCGACAATCAGTAATCAGTCCTCCTACCCCTTCACCTCAGGATGTTGAGCCGCAGCATTCTTGAATGACGGTAGCCTGTTTTAATGCAGTCCCATATGCTTTGTTTCAAACGCAGCACCCTCATGCAAAGGCGAATAGGGAAATGTTACATAGAAGGCAAATCTCACACAATGAAACAGAGGGTCCAAAGTTTATCGTGGGGAAGGAAGGTGTGTGCTAGGTCTAGGATGAGGCCCAGATACTTTAGGGGGTGAGACGATTCCAGGGTCAACTAGGAAATTGAGGATCCAGCCACAGTTTTGTAGGACTTGCACACTGGCCTAGAGGCCATCCTCTGACTGCTTTCACAGAAGCAGATTGTTGAATGTCCCAGAATGAAAATCTCAAGGCCTGCAGAAGAGCTAGCACCGGGGCCAGCACTTTTGTGAATACTCATGGTGAGTTTGGGAAATGGTGGAGGCTGGGGTGTGGTCCTCAGAGGATTCTTCCATTTTAGAGGTGTCAGTTTCCCTCAAAGTATCTCCTGCAGGGACAGAGACCAAGACCACTGATGATAGCCATGCTGTAAATTCTTATAGAAATCTGCAAATTGTTCCAGGACAGTAGAAAAGGCAGCAGAAAAATCCTATATGGAGACAAAAAAGGTAACCCATGCCACACATATTTGGGACCTGTCTTCACCCCCTCCATCACTACACGTTTTTTAAAACCCATTTTAATATCTAATTAGTCTAGATGACACCATTTTCCCATCTCTGGCCTTTTAACATTCTGTTCCTCCTTTTGGGAAGGTGTAATAGGTCATCACTGCCCTTTCCCACGGCGCACTGCTGCCCTTTAGGTGATGCATTTCCTGTGTGGCATCCTCTGAGTGTGACTGACATGGCGCGTGCGCCCTGCATCATTCCCAGAGGAGCTCACGCAGGTGCATTACCCGTTTCCAGAGCGACAGCCGGTGCTACTACAGCTTGAGCTCCATGCATCCCAGTGTACACTCTGGTTGCCATGAGGCTGCACATTCACCTCTCCTTCACTTTGTGGAGGATACATCATTACACAGTAAGTCCTCCATTTTATCTATGCCTTTTGCTATACAGTTTGCTTGTATCCATGCATAAGCATCATAGATTTTTATATTCATGGAAGGGACACTTAAACAGCTCTAGGGCCCAGCAGTGGCTATAATACACTATCTGGCAAGGCAACAGACTTTGTATAGGTTTCCACAAGCTGTGTGTGGTAGAAAGGTGAAGGCGCAATGACAAGTTTAAAACACTTCCTCCACTCTACTTACAAACAAAATGCATATAAGAATTCAAGAAATACCTTTTCACATGACGTGGGGGAGCCAGAGCTGTGCAATCATGTGATAACGCTGAAGGGGATTTTAAAAATTTGGATTTTTAGTTTAATCGGTAAAATCTTTGTTCTTAGGAGTACATCACAGAGAACACAGGGCACCTTCATAATCATGGTCACTGAGTTTTGCTGTCACACGCAAGTGAATGAACACTAGCCAAAAAAAAACGGCAGGCTCTCTCACCCAGGACAGTCACTGGGATGTCCAATAGCACCGAACAGAGTGGTGGGCAACATAGCCACCCAACAAGCCCAAATCCACCCAAAAAACAGAATTCGGAAAAATAACCCACTACACAGCAGCTTGCAAGACTTTCCACCGTAATTGGCATTCTCAGAGGCATGAACATCTACTGGGTAACACTTCGTAAACATGTTAACAGAAGACAAGGTAGCTGTCTTAAAAACGCGAACAAAAGATTTATACTCAACCAACCAGGATGCACAGGCACTCCTGGTGGAATGGGCATTTACGGGGAAAGGAGAAATCTTACCCTTTAAGCCATAGGCCAAAGAATTTAATTATTACTAAACCCAGGACCCTGCATTGACTATTTGGTCTCCCACTGTACACAGAACATGGAAATGCAATTATTTTAGTAGATGTTAACAGCTAAATACCTTTTCTCATCAGCAGTTAGAGCAGTATTGTGACTTCTATCAGTGTTCAGCAGAGCACTGGTTAAAGCTTGCAGGAGAAGTTTTCTTTCTGCTCTAGGAGGATGCAGAACCCCTGACCTCTGTCTGGACAGTGCTGATTGGCCCTGTGCTGATAACATGCACTCTCCCAAGGAAAAAAAAAAAAAAAAACCTCTCTAGCAATACACACCAAACTGAACATGTGCAGAGTGTCTCCACATGATATGTCTTATCGAGAGATAAGAGGGGGGCACAGGAAGAAAGGGAGGATCAGAGAAGTCAGGATCAAACAGCATTTTTTCACAATGCACAGGATTAACCCCTTTGGTTCCACAGCGAGTACAACAAGCATGCTTTACTGCATATACAGACTGATTTTACTGTTGTAGGTTTAGTACCACTTTAAGTATCTTCTCCTTAGGGTTCTTAGGATTAGGACAGAAAGTGAGTAACACAATGTCCTGGTTCAGGTGGAACAAGGTAACCACCTTGAGCAAAACGGATAAGAGGCCTCCACACAAGCAGCTTCAAGAAAGAACAAGGAAAGATTCCCTGCAATTGAGTTCAGCTAGCTCTAAGACCCTATGAGCAGAAGACATATAATAATAATAAAAAAAAAAAAAAAAAAAAAAAAAAACACACAACCAACCAAGAAAACAACTTTTTGCAATGGCCAAGGCAAAATCTGCCCTTGATCATACTGAAGGCTAAAGACATCTTCATACCAGATATGAGAAAAGGCAAAATACTCCCTACAACACACGGTCAAGGATGCAACTTCAGAGCCTCACACCAGGCAAAATAAGCCTTCCATGTATGTACACTTTTTGGGAGGTGGAGTTTCATACTATAAGAAAGGTAGGAATAACCAAGTCAAACTCCTGTCCCACAGGACCTGGGCTTCAACAGCCATGCCAACAAAGTCAGCAATCATAAGGAGGTTGGGAGATCGGGTCTTACGACAGCACCTCTGACCAATCTGGCAAAGCGAAGGGTTCAACTATCACAAGATTAAAAACGTCCGAGGTACCTTGTTCAAAGGCCAACAGAATCACCAGAATGCCCTCCCATTACCACTGGACAACAAACATTTTGCTTTCTGAAGACGTTATTGTGTATCTTATATATTTTTAGCTGCCAATCATGAAAACCTGAAAATTAAAGCGGAACTCCACCTAAAAGGGGAAGTTCTGCTTTGAGGACTCGACTTTTGGGGAGCAGGCATGACAGGCTGACATGACCGGTTCCAGAAGACTGCAGTGTGCACCCAGCTGTGAAGACAAGCTTTCACAGCTAGATGCCCACAGTTAAAATGGCAGCGCCAGGGAAAGAAGACGGCAGGTGAACCCAGCTGGGGTGAACACACAAGTAGATCATAGGAAAGGTGAGTGGCTGTTTTTTTTTTTTTGCAATAGGAGACTGGAGAACCACTTTAACCTATCACATACCGTTAAATCTTCGGTTTTGCAATTTTGAACGTATATTTTAAGCTTACGTTTCGGTTGTGTTGTAAGATGCTTTGTGTAGATCATGCATATTCATACATGCACTCATTGCATAACATTTGTGGAACTAGTACAGTTTCGGTATGCTTAGGCTGAATGGATGCTGCCTGGAAAAGCTTTAAAAAAGTAGCTTGCATGCACAGATGTTACTCATTTCATTGATAAACTAGTGCCATGTATTCTGATATAATTTTAAGACATAACATTGTCTATTTATATTACAAAAAAAGTAAGCCAGTTATAGAGACTTTCCATAGGACAATTGGTGACAGCAGAAATGTCTTGCCAATGTTGGAACAGCCATGATATTTTCTGCTATATTTGTGACAAGTACACACAAATTATAACTAAGGCAAAACTTTTTTTAGTTTTGGACAAAGGGGAGATAGATTAAAACACCTGTCAGTTTTTGACGTATCACCTTCTTTAAGGGTAAGAGCAGGCTTTCCCCCACAGTTACCTATGAATGAAGGCATCCAAGGATGGTACGAATAAGCAATTATTCTTCAAAGCGGCAGCCTCCCTGTTTCACCGACCAACACTTAAGCCATACAATCCTTCTGTTGACAGACATGATGTGAACCCAAGAAAGCAGTCTTTTGGAGACTTCCAAAAAATACACCAAGAAACTCAATGCTCTCAGAAAATTGTCCAGGAAAATTGCAGATGGCAGAATCCCCTGGGTCTGATTCTTTGGAATCAAACATACACTTTACTAAACTGGGCGTTTAGCACTCGACCACCACAGGCTGCAGAGACACTCCTACCACAGAAAATGATGGCCTAAAAAAGAGGGCCTCTAAGCTCTCATACGTAAAGCCTTTAAGGACCAGGAACTCAACCACCAGATCATGTAGTGATCTGATAGGAAATGTCCAGGTAAACAGCCAGAGAACCCCAATTCTCTGAGCGAATCTCTTTGCATGTGAAAACATTCTTTAGATAAGCCAAATTGTCATACATCATTTTCTGTAAGTGAAGGTGCAGCTGAAAGGTTTCGGGACTATTTTGGTGGCAGCCAGGACCCAAACCTAGTGACTTTTGGAAAAGACTACTCTGGAAATTTTAACTTTCTAAATTTCAAATACCCCCCCCAGGGCAATATCTAAATTATGGACAACAACGGTCCCTCACAAAGTTTGAAAGCTACTATCCTGGACACCATGTATAACCTCCTCAAATCTCCATATTCACTATATACTATCCCTAAATAATATCAGTATTTTCTGACTGCAGAACTAGTATGCTGCAAAATCAGCACAAGACTTCCCCATGGAATGAATTGCTTACAAAAGACTAGACTTATCACATAATACACAAAAGGTTACGATTGAGTCTTGGAGGGGCTCAATTTTACATTGAAAGTGACCCAACACACATTCTGATGCCCAAAGAAGTCAAGGAGAAATGAGTGCCTCTCAATCTCATTATTTATGGTCTATAACTTCCGGAACAAAGTAGCCACACATTGTGGGTGTGTCTGAGTATTTCTTTCTGTAAGGCTGGGTCTTTTGTTAATGTTATTTATGTATTGGGATTATAACTGAGCCGATATCTATGATTCATAGCAGGTCTATTTAAGCTTAATATGTGCATTGTATCATTAAACCCTTATGCATCTCTAATGTGTAGGTTCCTATTATGTCCACTGATATTGTACCTTTCTGAATTGTACTGTATATTTTATGCTGGAAATTCAAATGTTTGAGAAAAAAAAAAAGTTAGCAGGCAGCTAGCCTATACTAAAATCTGAATGGTACAAATTAAATAGTTCATTTCCTTTAAATATTGTCAGTCACAAACGATTTTGACATTACCTGCACAATTGTAGAGAGAATGTCAACATAATTGCTTTCAGTTTGGTACAGTTCCATTGCAACTTGCCACCTTGCAGACTGTTTTTGAGGTACTGGCGTAGAGATTTTGGAAGGCTTCCCAGAAAATTTTTGGTGTGTCTACAAAAAAAAAAAAAAAAAAAAAAGTTTTGTTTGCATCTACACTCTGAAGCCACATCAGTCCATATAAATAAGCAAATATAGGGTCATTACTTTCTTCTTTACATGATTAAACTATAATAATAGTGATGTAGCGCTGTATTAACTTAAAGAGCCTTAAGTTAGGTAAAACATTGCTGCACAGGGTATCACTGTTTCACGATAAGGATATTATGATCACTTAGATATATTTGAATTATACTACATGTATCATCTACAAATATCATAAGTTTATTTCTGATTAACAGCATATTGGTTTTTTCATATTGAAGAAGCAATGTTTTACCTAACTTAAGGCTCTTTAAGTTAATACAGCGCTACATCACTATTATAATAGTTTATCCATTTCCATCTAAAAGTGAGGGTTGGATGTAAGCTGCTTTTTTCACTAGTAGGCATAGCAGCGCAGGAGGATTAACCACAATTCTTCTTTACACGGCTGCCAAAATTCTCCTGTGTACTAGTTTTATGAAAATAGAAAATGTTGCATTGTTTCAGAGACTTTAAAGGAAAAAAAAAAACCCACAATATTGGCTAACAAATTGAGTGACCCAAATAACCTTTACCTGACAGTGACTTTCCAGACTCTGGTGTGTTTGAGATGTCAAGCAGTGATCCCATAGACAAGGAATGCTCAGCTGATGGGCGTTTTCGAGGTGGAAATGGGGAGATATCAGTTTCTCTTGTTATGTGGGCAAGCGTATCCTTTAATCTGCGTTTTTTACGATTACTGCTTGGAGTATTCAGTGAAAGTAGTGACACAGATTTTTTGAGTGCTGGACTGTCATGCTACAAAAAAAAAAAAAAAAGGAAAAAAAAAAAAAAAAAAAAAACACATAACCTACTTTTTTAACACATACATTTTGCCAACTGATAAAATTATCCATCCTGTACTTCAGTAACTATACAAGTGCTACAGCAGCTAGAACATCTGCCTTGCTACACTGAGATCCTCAGTTTGAACGCCTGACCAGGACAATCCTATGCAGAATTTGCATATTCTTCCTGTGTTTCTATGGGTTTCCTCTGGGTACTCCCGTTTTCCTGCACACTCCAAAGATGATGGTAGGTTAATTGGATCCAGTCTAAAGTGGCCCTAATATATATGTGTGCATGTGAGATAGGGACCTTCGATTGTAGAGCGTAGACTGATGTGAATGAGTAGTATGTAAAGAACTGTGTATTTTGATGGAGCTATGTTATAAATAAGAAAATTGACAGGGTGCTTAAAAAGGTCGCCTGTCATTGTTATGGGGGTTTTTTTTGCAAAATAAAAAAAGAACCCTGCTGTTGCGGTAACTGCTTAGGGTTTTAAATTTGTCAGTTACATAAAGTCCATCTATGACTATCCTGCTCCTTACAGGGAGACACACTGCAGTGATTTCACTGCAGAATAAACAGCACTGTTATCCAGTTATCCCCTTTTCATTGAAATGGATCTAAAGCTGGCCATAGAGGAATCTCTAGGTCAGGCAGCAGGCTAAAAGAAAAAAAAAAAAAAAAGGGAACAGATTCCTACATTCACACAAGCGAGGTAAACAGAGGAACCCTCCTTGCTGGGACATTGTATTCTGACAGCAAGACTCTTTGCTGTCAGAATGCATCAGTGGCTGCTGATCGTCACGTTTTCCAAAATTCCCGTTTGACTGAAGTCGATCCAAGAATCGACTTCTGTCAAAAGGGAATGGCCATACATGGACTGAAATTTGGCCAATCCCTGCTGAACCAGATAATTTTCGATCCACCTACTGTATGGTGAGTCTTAGGCATACAGCAGAAAAGAACCACTTGAAGCTGGGCAGCATATTATACCTTACATCAGCTACATTCCTTTCTAATATAAGTTCATGGTCGTTTAAGCAACCATAGACTTTTAGAAGAATATGGTCCCCTAGGCTGTAATGCTTGAATGAATAGTCCCCAAACTCTAGCCGCCTGCACTGTGCCCTCCTCTTCCCTATGCTCTCTGCTGTGTGTATGCTCGTTCAGGACAACTGATCTTGTGTCCTCCTGAATTGCTGGATTCCTCCCAACCCTTGTGTGCCTTCCTTCGGCTATTTGTCTTAAGTATCATGCTTTAGATTTAGTAGGACATTAAGTTATAAATTAAGTTATAAAGCTTGTGTGTAATCATAATTTTAGTGTCCTTTTAATCGAAGATATTTTCCACAAATATCATCGGACTCACAAATTGAGTAGCAACCTTGTGCTTTCAGAAAATTTGTTATTTTCAAACTTTTCAAAACATAAATGAAAAAGTAAAACAAATTTAAAAATTGCAATTGCAAATTCATGAAGAGCTCTTCCCTATTCTCTCTCTAAAGATTTCAGTTAAGCAGGATACATCACTACCCAGAAACAAACATGCAGACAATCATAAAAGACATAGGAAGACTGTTACCTTTTCAAACAGGTACATTGTTTCCCCGGCTCTGGCATCCATCTGTATACTTCCCCAAAACCACTGAGGAGATGCAATTGGGGGGGGGGGAGAAAAAAAAAAAGTTAAAAAAAGTAAACATCCAAAATGTGAGTGGCTTTTCCCACAGGCTACAACTCACCTCTTGCTTCACAACATACAGTTTCTTTGGAGGCTCAAAGGGCAACTCTTTCACAGAGTTTTCTTCAACCACCAGATGGGTGCACTTCTCATTTCCAACAGGTAAGAATTGCCCACCTAAAAGAAGAAAAAAATACATACTAAAAGCAAAAGTAGAATCAAACAACCTCTATACATAGCAGGAGATCACCAGTCCATAGTAAGCATATCAAAATACAGTTTTGAAGTAAAACAATCAATATTAGAATGCAAAAAACTATTGTACTCCTGGCTATAACAGCTGACAAGAACAAATAGCTTGACTGAAATGTTAACATCTTCCCACTCTTATTTAGAGGTTTACAACCAACTTTGTTTAAAGGAGCTGTAAAAAAACTGGTAAACATTCATGCATTGCTCAACTTTACTCTAATGTTGGCTCTGCCACTTCAATACCCTCCAATGCAAAGCAGAAAAATATTTAATTACATTTTATACCTTATATTTACAGTATTTGATTTTCACTGACTCCAAAGTAAGGTTCTTTAACAGTGTACTAGGCATTTACACATTGTTAGCTTTGTGTCTGTACCTTGCATTACTGTCATCTCCTCCATGCTGACTCGGTCTTCTTCTGAAAACCCAAGAAAACTTAGTATGCAGTCCTGAAATGGTGGGACCTTAAATTCATTTTTAAATTCCTCATCTATTGCACTGAATTCACTGCAAAGAAAATATTAAATATACATATAACATATGTTGTAGTGTTTTCAAGTAAAACAAATTGTTCTGCAAACTGGACTTTCATAAATTCTCAGTAAAGCCAAATACCACTGAGAGGATTTGCAAAAATAAAAGTTCTTCGCTCTTCACATAATTCAGAAACTAGAAACTGGGTTTTAGTCATAAAAATGATGCAATATTAAAAAAATGTACAGAAAACTCACCACAGGAAGAGAACCTGGATGGGCAGCTGCCTCAAAAGCAGATGTCCCCTAATAAAGCCAACACAGAAAACTTTTCTTTACCTTTACACAGGGTTCACACTAATGCAGTGTGGGACTAATGTGGTGCGATTCCTGTGTGAATTACATGCGATGTCGGCGTGGTGCTATGTGAGCCATACATTTTGGATGGCTCAAATCGCATGCGCACCAAAAAGGTGGAGGACCCTTTTTTTTTTTTTTTTCCCGCACCTGATTCGTATCGCATGGGTGTTCATTTAACATTGACACCCCCACCAGATCGCATGGACGCCGTAAGATTGCAATGCGGTGCAGGAAACACACAGGATTCGCTGCGTTTCCGGCACTGCATTAGTGTGACCCAGATCTTAGCAAACTTTACCCCTGTGAAAACTCCCAATAGATAGAAAGTAAAAGAAAACAAAAAAGCCAAAAAATAAAATATTATACACACAAAATAAAACAATGTATGCGTCCAAATATTTTTATGAAGTCCGCTGAAAAAAAAAAAAAAAAAAAGAAATCTTAAATCCACTGCGTGGTCACTTTTCTTCCTTCATACAATTTTGTGCAAATCAGAGCCCCTTCTGCCACGTGCATCTCCGCCAATCCGTATTTCTCCTTTATATATCCTCACCTCAAACATAGACCTACAACTCATAGGAGGCCTATACACACTTGATAACAAGCTGGCAGGTTCATTTTCGGTGTATTTTCATAATCACTTGACCCACATACAAAGAAAGAACTACTCTCTGATTTTCATAAGATGCATTGCATCATTTAACACAACTGTTGCTGTTTGTTAATTGATGTTTCTGGCATAGTATCCCAGCAGGTATCAGCCATAGCCGTACATGCAAATATAAAAACACATGATGCACCATTTACTGTACCTACCAAATGTATGAAATCAGAAGAAATTGATTCAAATTAATCAATGAAAAAAAACATGATATCTACCGTATATACTCGAGTATAAGCCGAGTTTTTCAGCACATTTTTTGTGCTGAAAAACAGCCCCCTCGGCTTATACTCGAGTCAACGTCTGCAGAGGGGCGCCGCTTCTAAAGCCAGTGCTTCTCAAATAGTGGGGCGCGCCCCCCCTTCGTCAAGGGGGGCGCGTACAGGGGTGGGCAGAGGGCTGCTGTCTCTTACCTGGCTCCCACAATGATCCATCCAGGAAGCGCTGCTCCTTCCGTCACTCCGGTCACTCCCTCACTCCTGCCACTCGGCTCCGCCTCCTCACCGGTGATTGGCCGCCAGAACTGTAGCTCAGGAAAGGTACACAGGCGGCCAATCACGGGCGAGGAGGCGAAGCCGAGCGGACCCGCGAAAATCGAGTGAGGGAAAAGCCGGTAGAGTGTGCAGTGCAGAGGTGCTGCTGCAACCACATATGC